ACCACTATCTAAAGAGAGGCCAATCAATGCTCACACACTGATATACCTGCACCAATCAGCTGCTCTGCGCTCAGATTCACTCTCTCCAGTCTCTGTTTAATACACTCCGCCTGCTCCTTTCTCTCTCTCTCTCTCTCTAGCTTTCTGTACCTTCCCCCTCTGTCTCTTCTTCATACAGAGTACATTTCTGCTATGAAGGTGAGTCATGTTGAGCCTAATGTCACATGGCTCCTTCTCGTTCCAAAACATCACACACTGCTCATGAAACGATACGGAAAGGGCACACGGATGCTTTGATTAGGATGTGATCCACATTCAGAGTCTCAAAAATTAAAAGGAGGATAATTCTCACTTGAAATACCCTTATTTGTCAAAGGGAGCAGGTCTTCACTTCCTGCAGCAGCCAGAGGGTGGCGCTCTGGTCTTAATGCAGGACAGCAGGGTTCTGACAACACTAACAGGAGGAAAAAGTCACTGTGACTTGTGTGTGTGTGTGTGTGTGTGTGTGTGTGTTGCATGCATGCACGCATTTATGCATGATCTTTACATGCATTAATGCAGCTTGTGTACACACAGCAGGTTGCTAAACCTGCTCTGTGGCCTCTGCTGCTCATCCTCCATCCATCCATCACCCCTCCACACCTTCCTCTTTACCTCCCTGTCCGCCTCTCTCTGTCCTCAAACCTCATCTTTTTCCTCTCCATTTTCTTCGTCTTCATCTGTTTCTTGTCTGTTAATGATAATAATATAGTTATTTTGCCTTCTCTTCCTTCATCAAAATCTCTCTTGAAACCACCAACACTGTTGAGTTCAAACTCATCGTGTGGTAAAGTGAAAGTACATTTTGTCGATTGACAAAAAATTAGGATTTTGGATAATTTATTAATCATTTTTTCTTTTAATATCAATATAACTGTTTATCTTCACTTATATCGACACAAACAAGTTGAATCCAACATGGCATTTAGAACTTGTGTTGAATTGTGATGCATTTTTTACTCTGAGTTTTCAGCCAAAATGATTGATTAATCTAAAATAAATAAAATAAATACTGATACACAGATGTATCAACAATTATTAGCTGCAGGTTCACACTGTCTTTCTGGGTCAATTTTTTTTGTATTTGTGTTGTATTTTTGTATTCTTATTGCTGATTGGCTAAACACAGACATGAAATCACTCAAGCACAGTACCAATGGCATTTGCAATTTTCAGTCGTACAAAACCATTAGCTGTGAACATCAGACTTTTCACTAACTCAGAGTTAAAGAGCAAAAGCCTCTGTCTGCACACTCAACCTTCAGCAGAGATTCAAAGCAGCAGGAGAGTGATGCAATGCAGTCACAAGAAATGTGCAGGTGTGATCATGGGCATGCCCTGATAACGAAACTAACACAACCACACACCCACCTACGACTGAAACTAAGAAGTTCACACCTGTTCTTTTTGAACTTGTTGAAAGGCATTCTGGGAAATTAAGGAAAAGCTAAACAGAAACACAATCTGGCTGGTAGAAAAGTGCACATCAAAAAAAAAATTTATGCTATCTCAAAAGCAGCTAGAATGCGTTCAATATCACACCGATGAGATGAGTATTTTTCCAATGATATTTTGTTTGTACTGGATTTAGTGACAAAGGCTAGAAAACAGTAAGATGGAAGGAGGTAAGCAGATGGGGTCTGCAGGAAAAGGAGCAACCCCACACTGTGAAGCTGTATGCAAAAGAAAGAAGTAAAACCAGGGTGTCTGTCTGTCTGTCTCTGTGTGTGTGTGTGTGTGTGTGTGTGTGTGTATGTGTGTGTGTGTGTGGGTGAGTGAGTGAGTGAGTGAAAGAGAAAGAGAAAGAGTTGTTGAAGTAAATCTGCTCTGTGGAGGGAGAAGCTAACCTTTTGGTGTAAATATTACTGTTGTGTAAAAATGTTTTCAAACCCACATGACACAGACAAGATGAAAATGTTGTGGATCACTTTTTACTCCATTTACTGCTCTATATATTTGTAGAGGTGTGTGTGTGTGCGTATTTGTGCGTGTCCATGTGTGTCAGTATCTTACTTTCTCAGTAAATACCCCAGGGCTTTGTGGTCTATACTGTGTGGTTTGGAGGAGTTTGTTAGTTGAGGGCCAGGTGCAGGCAGACAACACACACACTCACAGAAGATAAACGGACCCAGCACACACACACACACACACGAACGAAGGATAAATGGACCCAGTAGCAGGGAGGTCTGACAGAATGCCTTTTCACACCTGGCTGAGCCCAGCGGAAGGTGACAGAGTCACATCTCCCAAAGCGGGAGCATGCGCGCACGCGCACACACACACACACACACACACACACACACACACACACACACTCTCACATTGGGGAGTTCAGGGTCATAAACAGCATCATGAATAAAATGAGGCTGTCTTAAACAGAAGGAGCCCTGTGTATGCATGTGTGTAAGTGTGTTTGTGTGCGAGTGTGTGTTTGTGTTTGTGTGGGCCCCTAACCCCCATGCCAGTTTGGATATGTAACGACCTTCTGTTCCCAGTGCTTAAATGGCTTAAATACTTCAATTAGACCTGGGTCACAATCCTCCACCCGTTAAAGCACATCGTCACACACTCAAACACACACACACACACACACACAAAAAAACGGAGGTTTCATCATCCTACGAAGCGACCAAAGAATCTTTCAGCTGTTCTTTCATCAGGGTCTTCTCCTCTTGTCTGTGGTTCAAAGTGAAGCTCTACAGTGAAACATATAGCGTCCCCCGCCAACACATGAGCAACAATTAAACTCAACTCCCATCCTCTCTGCCAGCGTCTCCCCTGGAACTTCTCCGTCCCGCTCCCTCCTCCTCCTCCTCCTTCCTCCTCCTCCCTCTGTCTCTCCCGCCGTGCTACCCTAGCGCTAACGATGCTGCCTTTTCATTAGACAGCCCCTGCTAATTAATCTCCATAGAGGAGAGTGACAGACCTCCCCCAATACACACACACACACACACAAAAGTGCACGCCAAGATATATGCAAACACACACTCTTCTTCCCTCTCTCTCACTCCCTCGTCCCGCGTGGCGTTGGCAGCCCATTTCATGCTTTATCACGTCTTTTAATTGACAAACAAGCTGCTCTTTTCTCTTAGGCTGAGGTCTATATCACCCCCTCGCTCAGATGCACACACACACAATCATACACACACACACAAGTAAGGAGCCAAGAAAACTAGTTATCTTTTCAGATTTCTGATTAACACACACACACAAATAAGCAAATGCCTCCCCGCTGACATATGGCCCATGTGACTGTCACACAGTTTTCTACTCTTTGACACATTGTTTACACACACACACACACACACACACACACACACCACACACACACACACACACACACACACACACACACACACACACACACACACACAGCCATGTCGTATGTGCACTTAGGTTGAACATGAGGTTCCCATCACTCTTGGCACTTCCTTAATCTTTTGAGATGTTTTTTTCTGCCATGGTTCACTCATCTGCTACAGGGCAAGGTCAATACCAATCACAACTGCCTTATTGATTCCGAGTGATTGGATGACACCTTCACTTTCACAATGCACATGGAAAAATACCTTTTTTTTTCCAGAACATCAAAATGCTAAAATATAAATTATCTGTAAAGACAGTGGAAGCTGGTACATGAAGCATGAAGAAAGAGTGAGGTGAGGGTCATCACTGAGGGCCCTGAGGTTATCAGAGGTTAGAGTTTTGTTTAAGTGCAGCCCAATCCCACTAATGCACAGCCTCCACAAACAGCACTTGCATTTTTTTATTTATAAATGGATCATATTCTATAAATAAAATGCTTGTGAATAATTAAAACTCTCCCTTTTCCGGAGTAGCTCAGTTAACAACTTGATATTGTTGGACATACTGTTGGTCAAGACATATTTTGCACCGTAAGATTTAAAATATTTCTATCCCGACGAGGAACGTTCTGCATGAAAAAGATTCAAGAAGTGTCAAGGGCTGTAAGTGGGCCTTTTTGAGCGTGCTGCAAGGCTTAGTCACCCCCGCCACTGCCACCACCTTCTTCCTTCACATTTCTCTGCTTTTTAATTGGGACTCTACTACAACTCCTACATCCTGTGGGATTTAGCCAAATTTGACACAGGTTGAGTCCAAACTGTTAGTAGATTCTACACACTTAAAACAAGTACTATTTTTAAACATAGTATTAGGATTTTTCACATAAAAGCCGAGGTGTGGTGATGCATAACACAAACACCTTTTCTTTTTATTTATTTATTTTTTTAGCTCCCGTGCCATGCTGAATATATGTACTTTAGCATGAAGATATACTTTAGATTTTGCCAGTGTGTCCACCATGTTGTTTAGAAAATGTCTCCTGATCTGGTTGCTTGTAAGGACTGGTGGCTCCGTATTTAACATTTCCACCCACGTTAGTGCTTACTCAAACCTACTTCATACTAAATTTACATATCAAGTTTCAAAACTATCAGTATCTAGTAAAAATGATTTGAAAACACACACCTTCAATAAGACATAATGTTAATTTTATAGAAAAGAAACATCATCAATAACATTTACTCTATAATGTTTTAATAGACAACTTGAATTTTCTCTTCCACCTGTTATGCTTCTCTCACAACTGTGAAGTTACACTAATAACTGCTCTGATCATTAGTGTTCAGTCATGATCAGAGCACGAGGAAGAGAGTGAACTGAGTGTATGGAAGAAACTTATCACCAACACTTCCTCCTCGACAAGTGCATATGTCTGACTTTAAGTTTGGCATTGTTTCCAAAATACAACTAATTTTAATTAGCACACTGTTAATGTAAAACATCCACATCTAGCATTCATCTGTGTGTAGGGACTGATCAAGCTCTGCTAAAGCTCACTGATGAAAACAGAGAAGTGAAGCAGTGCTCAGGTCAAAGTGCGAACAGCACTGGCGTGGAGTTTGCTGACAGTGCTGGTTTTGAGGAAAGATACTCACTGTGATGTGGTACTGTCTCCAGATCTGTGGACAAGCCTGAGAAAAGAAGAAAACACAGTTGATATAGTCAGTATGGAAAAGAAACCCAGACACACATGTACACACACACACACGCACACATTTTTATGCACAGTGCATTAAAAGAATTAAGGAGATTAAAGAGAGGGGAATGGAGATGTCTAAAGGACAACTGGCAGTTTGTCGTTGTGCCTCTTTATTGGGAGTGGGATAGTAAAGACACATTGAGGAAGAAACTTTAGGCAACACTGGTACAATGGACTTTTATCACAGAGGGACAGAGATGAGAAGTGAGTCAGGTAGAGATGCTGATTAACAGACAGGACAGTAAACTGAAAAGCAGGCCATGGTGTCATTTGTTTTTCCTGCCTGATTCTTCAAGTCTCTTCTTATTTCTTTCACTAAACCTTTATCACTGTGATTTCTCAGTTAACAGTCTGTTTCCCCCGCCACGCGCGTCTCTGCAGTCAGTCACTCAAACAGTCAGTAAGTAAGGCAGTCAGTCGTTTTGTCCCGGTGTGGCTAAAGCATTATCTCCGGGGCTTCGCCATGCTGTTCCTTAAGCGTTCCGACATCCTTTCCCAACCGCCACCACTTCCCACTGGGAAATTGAAAATGCCGCAGTCGCCGCAGGCAACAAGATTTATCTACTTACACACCTACTGAGTGAGAGAGACAGAATAAGAGAGAGAAGGAGATGAAGATTTAAGCCTGTTCTGTGAAGAAGGCTGTGTGTTTAGTTTTCTCTTGCATACACTAAAGTTCCTATATAAATTTGCATGATATGCAAATTCCCTGACTATTTTTGCCCAAAGTTCTTTTTAAAATCTCGGCCTTTAAGGCAGCCTGTAAAGAACAGTCGGCACTTTTTCTGGTTTAATCTGCCCTGTTTAGATTTGAATACAGAGATGGACAAATATGGATTTCGACAGCTGTATCTTTCCTCCACCTCTCATCTAGCTTTCTATTCTTCAACAACCCCCTCCACCCACACCCGCTCCCTCCCGTTTGCTCTCTCCCTCCAGACCGCCGGGGTAGTGTGTTGTTGTCGAGGGCGACAGGCGAGGCGAGCGACACACTCGCGCTCCGTCAACCGTCTGTCTTTAATGAGAGACACAGAAAGGCCCAGGGGACAGAGACCTGACTCTCTTTCTCTCTCAAACACACACACTAACACATACAGTATAATTTGTGAGCATAAGAAAAAAAAAAAAAAAAAAAAAGTTATGTGTTCCAAGAAAAGGGTAATTACAATACCACACAACTTTGCAGCCTTTGTTTACTGCTGAAAACAATATGCAAAAGAGAGGGGAAGAATGAGATGAGCATGAAGGTCTGGACGAAGAGGTGAGAAAGAGTAAGTGAGAGTGAAAAAAAAAAGAGAGAGAGAGAAAGAAAAAATGGGCTGTGTGTCCTGGTCTCCCCTCTCCCTCTGGTGTTCACCTGGTTACTCATCCATTACACAGAGCACAGTACATGACTGACGGAGAGAGAGCAAGAGAGAGAGGGTGAGAAAATGAAAGAGAGAGAGAGGGGAAAGAGAGAGCGAGGTGGGGGAGACAGAGGCAGGCTCTTACATACACACAGCGTTTTCCATTCTATGGCATTAGTGTAAATGGCCAAGGTAATGAACGTTGCGGTGGGATAATTGTCATTGATGGTCATTAGATTCACCCTTCAGTGCCAACACACACACACACACACACACACACACACACACACACACACACACACACACACACACACACACACACACACACACACACACACACACACACACCTGGAATATGCAGCATGGCAGAGACATAACTAAGCTGTAATTGCTGAAGTGTATCAATTAATGTGAACAGCAGCGTGTGCTGACCCCTGGTCACTCATTACTACTGAGAGAGAGAAAGTAGGGGGGGTGAGGGGGGTAGAAAGGTAATAAAAAGTGGGGGAGCTTACTTTTGTTTTAAATGTGCTTGGTGCTTCATCGTGTTTACATTAGGTAGTAATTGTTCTGACTGCAGGCTGCAGCCCCCACACACACATACACACACTCTCTATGATTGCAGTGGCTCAGCCAATAGCATGAAGATGATTGAATTCAGAGCTTTCTTATTCCTGCAATACTTCATTCTCCTCTATTTATTACTGTATATTTGTCTCCATATCTGTATTATTTAACTGTCTAATTGCTTTTAGTATTGATTTATCTGCAGGTCCTATAATAAGTTGGATTTCTAGGTTTCAATCAATGTGTTTAACTACATAACCCATGTGTACCTTCATCACATACCGTGTGTGTTCTAGTTAGTCCCAGTACCTGGTGCTCCTGTGTCAAAGGGACTATATGGCCAAAAGTATGTGGACACACACCACTGTGTACCTGGTATTAGGGTGTTCTACATGGTTTGAGCTTGGCCCCTCAGTTCCAATTTAGGGAAATCTTAATGCTTCAGCAAACAATGATATTTTATATAATAATGCGCTTCCAACTTCAAGGAAACATTTTTGAAAGACCCTTTCCAGTCTCGGTATGACAATGCTTCTGTGCACAAACCACGGCCTATAAAGAAATAGTTTTCAGAGTTTGATGAGGATGGCTTGCACAGAGCCCTGAACTCAACCCCATTTAGCACCTGTGGGATGAATTGGGAACCCGACAAAGCCAGGCCATACTGCCGCACATCAGACCGTGACCTCAATAATGCTGTGATGTTGTAGCAGCATATTAGATACCATGATTTCAAAAATTTGATGTTCAACAATCAAATATGTGTGTAACGTTCAGGTATCCAAAAAAAAATGTGTCAATATACTTTTGGCAATGAAGTGCATTTCCTGTGATGAAGGGAAGTTTGGTGCTCTTTGTAAATGTGCAGAGCCTTCTTCTCTTTTTTGAACTACAACCTAATAAAACAGGATGCTGTAGGCTACTCACGTCAAAGAAGTGTCCCGTCATGCTGCAGCGATGACACTGTTTGTGCCAGTACGCTCTCTCGCTGCAAGACCCAAACAGGTGACCGGGCAGGCCACAGTTGTTGCAGTGCTTATTGGGACATTCACTGACCACGTGGCCTGGGGTGCCGCAAAGGAAGCAGGGCAACAACTTCTGCACACGCACAAACACATACATAGACACACATAGGTTAGTAGTTGCACATACTTGTGCTCATTGTATATAAGGTGCACATGTGAGCGTGCACTGAGTGGAACTGACTTTGGGCTCGGGGCAGGTCTTGGAGAGATGTCCGGTCTTGTTGCAGTTTCTACACTGGACATTCTTGCCAGTGTAGTATCTGTTTGACACCCGTGGGACCACTATCCTGGCACCCTTGTCTTTGTTATATATCTGAGCCTGAAACAGATGGTGAATTTTATCATTGACATCATGTTGTTGGTGTAAGGCTGAATGGACTAACCTGGATCTTAGTCCATAAATATTATCTTACAACACATTGCGAGTGACAAAAATGGGTTCATTCTGTGAGATAAGACGATGCAATAATGAGCGAAATATTCTTAAAAAAATAAAAAAATAAAAAAATCACACATTACTTTTTAATTATTACTTTGGCTCCTAATTAACCAGACATTAGCGATCCACACAACTTGAGAATTGCAATATACATTTTTGAGACAAAAATGTTACATTTTTACATTACAAACATTACAAGCACAAACTATTTTGTAAAATGACTTCAGAAGACAGAAGAGGCTGAATGTCAGAATACAAAGCTGCTGATTGCCACATACCTCTCTGTCTTTGTCAGAAACCACCCAGCTGCTCTCTTCTTCTTCTTCAGCATCTGGCAGGACAGAAAAAATGCATTTTAAAACATTGCAAATGCTATCGCTAAAGTCTTGGCTCTTATTTTCAATAGTTATAATAATATATATATATATTTATTTAAGTACAATATTGAGTATCTTTAAATTTTGATTGTAGTCCTATTAAGAAATATTATGATGTTATTAGATATTTAATATTTGGCAAAATGCAGCTTTGTTGAAAACAAAAATCTTTAGGCTCAAGGATTCTTATCAACCTGTATAAAACACAGGGAAAACATAACTCAGAAAATTATCAAAACTGGAAGATTTTAAATTAGTAGAAGATTAGAGTTCGGTATCAAGAACCTTTTCCAAATTGGACCTGTATATAAACCAAAGTTTGGACTACGCTTCTCTAATACTGGATACACATGCATCAGTTCATGGAGACCAGAGTTACACTCAAACATGTGGCTAAGTATGACAAATGTCTCTTTATGGCAGAAAAAACCTTAATCTATTTTTTTTTCTTACTTTAACAACATGACAAGAAATGAAACCAAGATTCAATAAGAACCAGACTTGATAAATTCTTGACGATATCCAGCCCTATTAAGAACTCTAAACCCTGAGGAGTAAGTTTAGTTTCCTGTAAGAGAAGGACACACACATACACACACTGAAACTGACACAGTGGCAGCCCAGCACATCTGTATGAGAGTGGCACTAACAGCACCCTGAGGGAGACCACTGTATTCTCCGCAGGCCCACAGAACTGTAACTGACATCCAGAAATCGTAACGTACACACAAACACACACACGCACACGCACAGAAACAAACGGACACATGTACTCAGCATAAATTATGTGGTGATAGCAATGACCCACACAGGCTCACATGCTTTCACAAACACATACAGACACAACCACGCATCGACCCCCGCGATTAGCTGGTTGACAGTCTTTAGCCTTTGGACAAACATACAGCCTTGAGCCATAATCAAATATTACACTCTCCTTTGCACCTCTCTCTCTCCTCCTTTTTCTGACTCTCTCTATCCAGCCCCTTATCGCTATTCTGCTCAGCCCTCCTTCCTTTCCTTTCGCTTACACTCTCTCTCCCTCACTCTCCTTGTTTTCTACCCCCCCCCCCCTCACCGCGGGGCTGCGGCGGCTGCAGAGGGAGGTTATCACCTCTCTTCCCTGTCAAACAAATTAAAATGGCTGCTGTTTGGATGGGGCTTCTTTCTGCCATGACCTTCACCTCCAAAAAACACACACAAATGCAAGGAAGTCAGCGGCGCTGTCGTATGACAAAGCTTGTGACTCCTATTTTGGCGAATTTTACCTTTAATATCAATTGAGGGTCCTCTCTTGTTTATTTAACTTTTTCAGATGAAATCCAGTTCCTGAAGCATGTATATGTTGGAGATACACGCACCAGAATTTATGCTGAGCACTAAAGATTTTAGATTGTTATATCAGTATCTACTCACTGTCCAAGATGGAAATCAATTCACCAAGATTTTACGTTATGATGCTATCATGTGGCACTCATTTTGAAGTTGATCCATTCAAGCTGTGACTATTTGAGTCATAATTCAAATTTTAGTTGAAGGCAGTTTTTTTTCTTCAAGAGTCAAGTCACGATTTCTCCTGGCTCTCAAAATGACTGGGTGGTGACAAAGTCAGTAGTTCACTACTTCTTCAAAAATTCAAGTGCAAATTAATGAATGGTGACTAAGAATGTGTAGTATCTAACCTGAAATCAAACAGCTACAAGCAGTTTTTAAAGAAATTCACAGAAAACAGACGAAGTGCAATTGTCTTTTGCATTTAAGAGAGACAACAAGGGCAAATCATTAAAAAATAAAAGCATTTAGTTAGTTTGCTTCAGTTCATGACTGCATCTAACAATTATTTTTATTACCAATTAATCTGAAGACTGCTTTCTTGATTAGTCATAAAATAACAACAACAAAAAAAAAAAAATGCCCATCACAATCCAGGATCCGGGATGACATCTTAACATGTGTTGTTTTAGCTGACCTACAGACGAAAAGCCAAAGATATTCAATCTACTGAATCTGATATAAAGATGGAGAAACGCAGGAAATCCTCACATCTGAGCTGGTACAAAAGCTAATGTTTGGCATTTTTGAAAATTGAGTCAAACGATTAATCTGTCATCAAAAGTTAATCAACAATCAACTTATTGTTGGAGCTCTTCTTCAGTTAAATAACCCTTTGGCTAACCCTTTGAAAAGAGCGAGACAGCATAAACTAGTGATACGTCTTCTAAATAGTTGTAATTCGATGTTTTTGAGAGTGATCTGCTGCAGCTGTTCGAATGGCTCGGCTAGTTTAAGTTTATCTTGATAAGCTTCCAAAACAGAGCAAATGCAAATCTTCATGCCATAAATAAATTATTCATTTAAAATACATATACCTGATATTTAAATGTATTAGAAACTAGAGTACAACTACAAAAGATGGTTGAATAAGTGATTATTGTTGTGATCCACTTATGGCTTGTACTTGTTTAGAGAGTTTCATGTCATTATTTTCAATAGGATACTTTCCCATATGTTTCTGTCAGTGCTCACACCTCACTGATGCTTTTAAATTTACTGTGTGGTGTCAGCAAGGGATCAGTGCAACACAGACAGGCCTTGTATATGCATGTGTGTTGTTTCTCACTGTCACGCTAGAGTAAGAGTTATTCTGGTGTTGTTAGTCTTGGTTAGTTTTGTTTTGTAAAGAGTGAACGAAGAACTGTGAACAGACTGGGGGGCCTCAGTATGACGTGTGTGTGTCTGTGTGTATGTGTGTGTGTGTGTGCATGCGTAGTTGGTGTTAGACAACAACCAGCACCCAGTCAATGGGCAGCTTGGAAAAAAAAAGACAGGGGTGAAAGAGGTGTGTGTGTGTGTGTGTGTGTGTGTGTGTGTGTGTGTGTGTGTGAGTAAGCGTTAGTGACTCAACGAAAGTCATTCCCAAAGCGTCTCCCGGGGGGACTCCCCAAATAAAGAGCAGGAAGCTTTCCCTTAATCTAAGGGCCCCCCATCTTACCAACACACACACGGATAAAGGGTGAAGCTCTTTGTCACGGCCGAGGAATCAAACACATGGGTGGGTGTTGGGGGGGGAGCTGGTGGTGGGGGAGAGGATGGAGGAGGAAAAGAGGAGAGGGTGGGTGGGGGACTGTTGTCTGTACACTGGGTGAAAATATGCTAATCAACTTTGAGGCCCTGTTCAAAACCAAACCATCAGAGCCACTCACTCCATCGTGGCCCAACAGATCTGAAGGAGTCTGGAGCTGAATAAGCAGATGGCAGCGGCTTCACTGAGCAGCTGAACGGACTCGAGAGAGAGAGCGAGAGAGAGAGAGAAAGAGAGAGAAGGAGAGAGAGAGAGAGAGAGAGAGAGAGAGAGAGAGAGAGAGAGAGAGAGAGAGAAAGAGGCCGTCGCCATGTTGACTGCAACTGTACAATTTCAATAGATCCAATGGCGATGTATTCCTTACAGCCAGCTTGGAGGTCAGAGACCCTACAAAGAGGAATGGATGCGATGCCTGAGTAGGATGACATTTAATAGTTATGATGGATAACAGGGAAGTCCCAGTCTCAAACTGTGTCCAAGTCATCTGCTGGAAATCAGAGTAAATATTCCTTAGCATTTCCAGTTCTCCTGGTTCAACTGATTTTGATTCTACGGGACAACTCGTACATTATCACATCACTCCGTCGTCGGGGGAAATTCAACACAGTGGCGTGGAAGAGGGGGAAATAGAGAAACAGAGGGAGGGAAGGATCAGGGGAGAAAAGGCGACAGATGCTACCTGTCAGTCTCATAGGTACCCTGATTACTAGGAGATGAGGAGGAGAGGGGAGGAGGCTGCGTGCCAGTTCATCAGAGCTGGCAGAACACAACAAAACAGAGGAATTGTGTGTGTGTTTGTGTTTGTGTTTGTGTGTGTGTGTGTGTGTGTGTGTAAGGTGTGAGGGGGAGCCCGTATGTGTGTGTGAATGCTTTGAATCTGTCCCTTGTACCAGTGAGAACAGAACGGAAGTGTACGTGTGGCTAATGAACCATGAACACCCGGTTCTCCTGGGGTGACACACACACACACACACACACACACACACACACACACACACACACACACACACGCAGTGGAAATATTAGAGGACCACAAGAGCATCCTTCTCTCGGGACAAGGTCCAGACAGGGTGGTTTAAGTCTGATAACCCAAGGACGAGATTGAGAACATCAAGACACACACCCATCCTTCTATGTGGCAGTCTCTCCTGACAATAACCCGCAAGTGTAGATATTAACCAGTTTCCTAAGACGTGTGTGTGTCATCTACAAGCTGTTCTCCCCTCTGTCTCAGCAACATCAAAGCCTTTGACTGGCCCGCCTTTCCCCTATCCTTCTTTCCCAGTCCCGACACTTAAACAGGCATCCCAAGCCAGCCCGCCCATTGTACCACGCTGTTGACCAGGCCCATTAACACACCAACCAGTACGTACACACACACACACACACACACACACACACACACACACACACACACACAC